AAGAGAACACTTCTATGTATTGTATAAGACTGATGAATCACAGACCTGTATCTCTGAAACAAATTACATTATATGTTAATAATAAAAAAATAATTTGAAAATATCTAGGGGAAAAATAAAGCTCAATAAATAAACATATTAAAAGTAGAAAAAATAAAGAGAACACTTAAAATTGAACATAATCTGACCACTTACAAAACTCTTCATTCTTTCTTCTACTTGTTTAATTTTTAATATTAGTTTACTTTTTAAAAAATGCTGCAGAATATAGGAAGTTACATTTGTTGTATACTTTTATCATTGTCTAATTATGATTACAAGTAGAAATTATTTAATCTTTCTATTCATCAGTCTACTTGTCTCTATTATAATCAAGAAACATAGTTAATTGTCTTTTAAAAGATGCCTCTAAGAAATGCCCTCTTGTGGATGTTTGAATGTAGCTGAGTAAGGTGGGTTTATTGGTAAATTCAGCAATTTAATAACTCAGCATTTTGATTTTTCTAAATGCTCGGCAGTTCCTTCCTGCACAACATGCTGTGGTATTTGTGAGTCTTTTCTGAGCACTTGAACAAATCCTGCTATCCTATTAATTTGAAAAGCCCCTCACTTCACATCTCAGATCATTTATCTGATATTCTCAATTCAACCTGCTATGGAAACTGGGATAGTGGCATGCATATTTGAAATCCACAGATAAATGAATTAATATATTTATTCAATAATTCTGTTTTTGCTAGACATGCTAATAGAGTAACTTTGAATTTTGCCCTAAGCACCTGGTGCACGTACTAATACGTAAATAAGCAGAAGAGCAGATCCCAAAGGAAAGCAGCAGTGACAGCTCACAGGAAGATGTATCTCAGCATAATGAAGAGCTGGATGCATCTCATTTTAGCTGTAGGACGGAAAAGCATGTTACAGGTCTGTGAAGATGAGGCAAAGGAAAGGTTAAGTCTTATAAGCTCATCTTTCTCTACACTAACTGATTAATAATGAAATGCACTAGAATTATTTAACTTATGAATATATAGAGTTTCAATTTTGCATGTCTCCTATAATTTGAGAATAATCCTATAGATGACACAGGAAGACCTCTTCTACATAAAGGTACTTAAATTAAGGTATTCAGTTTAAATTAAATTAGTTCTATTTAATGACTTTTCAACTGTAGCTCTGTATTTAAATGCTTGAGAGTAGAGAACAATGGAGAATAAGAAGATCCAGGAGAAAGGATAAGGGACTACAGAAAATGATATTGTGTGTTTGCTGCAGTGAATTCTTAATAATTGTTATAAGCCTGAGCATCAGTATAAACTGAACACAAATCCAGAGATGAATTTGATAGGACTTTCAATTTTGTGGAGATACTAGATTTATCACTGAAGCAAACATTTATCTAGCTAGTACCCACTATGTGCCAAACACTATAAAAAGGTGTTGGAAACAAAAAGTGAGTGAGACAAAGACATCGAGTTTAAGGAACTACAGCAGACTAGGGGAGAGAGACTCCGAATAACGCTTACTGGGCATCAGGTTTTATTCTTAGAGGTTTATATGAATTAACTCATTTGACTTTCACCCTTATTCTGTGAGATAGGTACTTTACTCTTGTCTTACAGATGAGGAAATTGTGACACTGATCACTGAGGTTAACTTGTACAAAGTTTCTGTGGTTATTCTACTAGCCAGGAGAGGTGAGGCCGTGCTGCTTTATCTAAGAAATAACAGAATCATAAGGGTTTAAAGAATAAATATCTACAAGGTTTCTTTCTTTTCTTTTTTCTTTTCTTTCTTTCTCTTTCTCTCTTTCTTTCTTTCTTTCTTTCTTTCTTTCTTTCTTTCTTTCTTTCT